AGATTTGATGGGAGAAGGGGAGGGGAAGCAGCAGATGGAACGAGCTTTCTTGGCCTCGTCAATACGTAATAATCATCACAGGGAATTTGTACCTGTATGTGAAATATTTTTTTCCCCATTCTCCACTCCTCCACTCAACCTTTTCTACCTTCCTTAATTACAAAAACTTTGTTTCCATTTTGTCCTTCTATTCTTTTTTTTCTTTTCCATTCCTTCCTTCTCCCCCCCCCTTCTTTATTCCTCATTCCTATTTGAACATTTTCTTCCTATTTCACAACATCTGTTATACATTTTGGGCCTTATTTACCCTTTTGGTTTGTCTTATGAGAGAAACAATGATATATTTATAAATATGTATCTGATTAAGAGTATGGTCTCAAAATGCACTCATTTAGCTAAAAATACCAGAACTTTATCCTTTGTACAGCAAAGTAATACTCCATTGTTAGAAAAGCCTTATGGGTCAAATGAAACATCTACTTTTAGTTTTTTGAAGAATCTCCACACAGATTTCCACAGTGGTTGCACCAGTCTACACACCACCAACAATGAAAAAGTGTTATTTTTGCTCCAGAGCCCTGCCTCATTTGTTATTGTTTGATTCTTGCTGGAATGAGATGGAATCTCAGTGTTATTTTAATTTGATCTATCAAATGACCACAGCCTTATTTCCACTTAAACACTTCTTTAAAAACTGTCTTCAAATATGGTCACATTCAGTAGTGTTAGGGCTTTAACATACAAATTTGGAGAAATAAAATTCAGCCTCTAATAAGAACTTATAAGTGAATTCTTTCATTTTCAGTATATATGTCAACTCAAAAATTTTATCCATGTTTATATAGCACCAGCAGAAATATAAATTAATATTTAAAAAACAAAATATTTCACTTATAGTAGCATTAAAGATGGAAAATGTTTATATAAAAATGAACAAAATACAAGTAATATGACCCTAAAAAGGATGAACTAACACACACAATATAGAAAACTCTTTAAAACATTATAATGAGTGAAAGAAGTCAATCATAAAAGAGAAATTTAATATTTTGTTTATGCAAAGTTTAAGAGTAGGAAAATTACACAGTAATAAAAATCAAAATCAAAATAGTCTGTGCTGATTTATTTGGGATTTATTGGAAGTAGTATGATAGAGAATTCTGAGATGAAATATACATTCTAGGTCTTGTGTATGTGTGATAACACAGATACACACATGCATAAAATTTGTTGAATGGTACACTTAGAATCTCTTCATGCACTACATATAAATTTGTGTGTGTGTGCATGTGTAAGTGTGTATTAAATTAGAGCAGCCTGTATTACTACTTACCAGGTAAATAATATAATACTAAATTGAGAGAACAAGCTTTAAAGCTAAAGATAATTTTAACCCTGGCCCTTCCACTTACCAGCCATGCAGCACTGGGTGATCTATGTAGCATGTTTGAACCAATATTTTCTAGGAGAAAACTGTGGGTATGTAATTAACCATTCATAATTGCCAGGAAGCTTAATAACACCATGTTAAAAAAGGTCTTAGAGCAGTTATTCACATATATATGTTGTACTCAAAAAGAGGTAAAATTCATTATGGTTCTGATACAATAATAGGTTTTATAAAAAGGAAACAGTGATGGGGCTGGGGATTTAGCTCAGCGGCATAAGCACCTGCCTTGCAAGCAGGCGGTCGTGAGTTCGATCCTTGGTACTGATAAAAATGAAAAAGACCAAAAAAAAAAAAAAAAAAAAAAGGAAACAGTGGCTTCATGCTTAGACTGATTTGTCTTCTACTGAGCAGTGTATTACAATAGGTATTATCTGTCTTTATGAAGAGAGAGATGAAAGATAAAAAATAACAAAGCAGATTCACATCAGTTAAGGCAGAAAGCTTACATTAGCATAATTGAAGGAGGCTGCGGAATTCAGTGCCCTGACACAAGGAGACTGGAGGACTAAATGAGGTGGAATATGAAAAATTAATTGGCCGAGTGTTTAGTACATATCCAGTAAACCCTCAACAAGCAGTCATGTTAATTTCTACATATTCATGCCTAATTTTTTCCATAACACCAATAAACATAACAAAGCTTTACAAATTTTTATCTTGTTGAGAAAACATACCATATAAACTATCCCCTAATCGTTCATTTCAACTGATTCATTTTCTCTCCAGGTACATTTTTAGCAAATAACATCTTATGTGATGACCGTGAAAAATTTATCCTGTTACATTAATCAATATATCTGAATAAAAGATGGCTTTGATTTTTATTTATTTATATTTATTTGATTTTAATTTTCTCCTCAAATCAAATTCTGAAGTATACTAATCATTTCTGTTGCTCTTTCAATTTATTTTACCCTTTTTTTTCTCTTGTTCCAAACGTATGTGACAATGTTCAGATTTCAGTCAATTTAAATTAACTTTAGGAGTTTATAAATTGAAAACTGTATCAATTATACTTCATAGTATTGAATATAATTATAATTCTATTAATTCAGAAATTTTCTTCTTAATGTTGTTTACTGCAAGTTTTTTGAATGTGTAATTTAATCATAATTCTTATATTCACCTCTCAACAAAAAGATTAAACAGAGCTATTTTCTGTATCTAAGCCCATCTTTCAATTATTCAAAAAATAAATCCATAATTCTCAGATTATTAGTTGTTTAATATTTGTATTGTTATTTTTTATAGCTTTTCAGTATTTTAATGTCATTTCTCCAGCTTTACAATCTAGAAAGAATTAAGTAAAAGCCAAATACTTAAAATTACTTGATTTGAAAATTCATCCATAATTTTCTTAAATAATAGCAATGGAAAAATTAAGAACATGCTAAAAGTTCTTATCAAGAGTAATTTGAGAAAGTAGGTTGAGAAGAAAATAAATTTTAGATACTATCTTTAAAAAGACAGCCAATCACTGTCTTGACTTTGTACATATATTTACTATGTGAACAGTTAATGACGTATAATATAATTAACAGGAATAATAAGGATTTCTTGTGATGCCAACTGCAATTCTACTTCTAATAGTTGGTTATAGTACCTGAAATTATATTTATACTACTATGCATAAGAATTTTTAAACACTCTACATATATTAACTTTTATGAATGCAAATAATATTTAACCAATTCTTGGTTAAATTCCATTTTATTTTTTTCATTGATCATACTTTATCTGATCCTTTCAGTAATTTCTATCTCTTTATTAATATTGTTCATTTGATGAGACATCATTGTGCTTTTAGTTTTAGGTGTGGGGGTTTTTCTTTTGTTTAGTTCTTTGAATATATCTAAAATAGCCAACATAAATTGTTTACTAATTTCAAACTCTGAACTTTTAAAAGACAATTTCTATTGAATACTTCTCCTTTATTGTTTTTATTTTAAAAAGTATAAAACCAAGAAAAATAAAACCAATCAAAATAAGCCAGTATAAGTGACACACAACTTCAAAACTTCACAAAATCAACAATGGTTACCACAATGCGTTTTGTTGCCTTGAAAATAGCTGCAGATACTTCAGACATAATGAAAATCAAACTTTATACTTTCATACAGAGCAGCACAGAGTCTAATCAGTCAAAACAAGATAACGGGGGTATTACAGGACTTCAAGTTGATAGGAAATCAAAAAAGTTACAATAATATATCCTGCTAGATTTTTTATTTTTTCCCCATAGTTTAAAAAAGGAATTTAAAAAAATAAATAATATCTTAATGAATAAGGGAGAGGATGAGATAAAAGGGGGCATAACAACATAACAATACAGGTTAAAGCATGACACTATCAGAGTATGGGCAACTACTATAAAGGCAATAAGATTCACTATGATGCCCATTCTGGTTTGACTATTATCCTCTTTTGAGGTGCTGTAAGACTTACAAAGTTTAGGTTTTATTGGTCTTGTTCTCTACTGCTATGTTTAACTCTATAATACCTAAAGAGATAGACAATTCGTCTTAAGGATACAAGAGGCATTATGGTAACCATTGTTGATAACCTTGTACTCTGTTTTTATATCATGTGCTATGTCTATCCTTGGTTTTGACTGACAGCTTTGTTTTATCATGCTTGATTTTATTCTCTTACAAAAAAAAAAAGTAATAAGATCTAAGGGAGCAATAAAGCACAAAATGTGTAAATTTTGTTGTACTAAAGAGAGGGAAAGAAAAGTGCCCTGAAGGATACAACAGCAAGGGTGTTTAGGTGTGTTGCATAGAAGACCATATTAATAGTTTGGATTGGATTACTGAACACAACTGCTTGCATTCGCACTGTTTGAATGTTCGCTTTGTGTGCTTTGATCCTGTGACTTGAAACACCGTTTCTAAGATGACAGAGAGTAATCTATTAACTGGTGATAGCATACTGTTTTTTTGTTTTTTTGCTTTTCTGTAGTTCTGAATTACTTGTACCCTTACACTATTTTGTTTTGTTCTGCTTTTTTTCCTCTTTTTTCCTTTTAAATAAAATATTAAAAAAAAAGAAAATCAAACAGAATAGAATAGAATAAGAACAATAAATACAAAACAATGAATGCAAAACAATGAAAATGATACGTTTTCCAGGCGGTATCACCTCCTGGTGAGGCCTGGTCCATCCCTCCCCCAGTCTGCTAATGGCACTGATTCACAGAGAGAGGGTTGGATCTGGCTCTGCCTTCTCCAGCAGCAGCCTTGTGTGGTCCATTTTCCATTTTAACATAGATCAAACTAATTGTAGATGTTTTGTAAACATTTGTTGGTCTATTTCTTATATTAATATTTTGATAAATTCTAAACATTTCATGTGGCAAAGATTCAGTAAGATTTTAAAAATGTTCTTTTCTTATAAATATGTTTGTAGGATTTCTTAATTCAATTGTTTTTATGAACATCATTAAAGCTGAGAATTTTGACATGAAAGACTGGATAGTGGTAAGTTAAAAAATATGACTGGTGTTTCTTTGTTTTAATGTTTATTTTGTATTGCTTTTATTTTGTTATAGGCTACTCTAAATATACAAAGAAAGAAGGAATTGCATGCATATTGCAACCATGTAAAAGACCTGCCTTCCATAGCCTGCTCAGAAGGAGAATTCATCATTGCACTTCTGATGAAGAAGACACATTTTTAAAAAATCACTAAATAAAATTCAAAAATAAAGCTAGTACACTTAAAAGGTTACATGAAACTCAGTAAATGAAAGAACAAATAAGATGTTGCAACATCCTCAAAAAAATTAGTCTTTACATATACAGTAAAGACAACCAGGAATTCTGAAATAAATGTACAAAGGGATACAAAACTAGTCAGTATCAATAGTAATCAATTGCAGTCCAGCTGACACATCTCATTTGTATTTGTGTAGGGAAAAAATTATCACTTGTGCACAAATTAACTCAAAGAAAACCAGCAGCAAACAGCGGCAAAGGTTATAGTAGCTAGAATACCAGCTGATTCTATTTGTTCATTTCAAATCTTTCACATTTCCTGACACTGATGTAACCTCCTCATAGGGCTCTGAAACCCCTTGAACTTGTTTCTTAATTAGATCCAAAGGTAGCAATTTGAATTTTCCAAGATCATCAATACTGGCAGGATACCACTTAGTGTCACAGAGAGTTATAGATTATTTCGAAGGAAAGAAGTAACCTCTCATATATGAGAAAGAGGACAGGATTTAGGAAGTTTCCAATAGGAGTAAAAACAGATTCCTGGAGAAAAGGGAAGAGATGCTGATGAAGTAGGAAACAAAATTGAAGCAGAAACAAGAGATCTATGTCTGGGTGTGCGTCAGTTTAGCAGTGTTGTAAGAGCCAGTGCTAATCTATTAGCAGCAGACCTAAACGTGGAGATGAAAAACCAAATAACTAAGTATCACTATGGGTTAGGGGGTTTAGGGACTGGTTTACAGGTTCTTAGGTGCAACAAAGAAAGAAATATGGGACATGATGGCAAGGTAATAGTGAAAACGTTTATTAAGGCAAGAAAATTATGCTCCAAGTAACAGGCTTCTGCCGTGAAGGGAAATAATGTGAGTCTTACCGTGAAGAATATAGGGGATTAAGTGAACCGCTGTAAAACCATTTTTAAAAAATCAAGTCCCAAACTGTAATGTAGCTCTCTCCTGAGGGCTCACAATCTATTTTCTCTAAGTGTGTACTTCTTTAATTCTGTCGAACAAATTTTCCCATCCCTTTTATAAATACTTCCAAAAATAAAGTTACCAGCATACTTATAATCTCTCTTAAATAGATCTTAAAATTATTAGATTATATATATTAAAATCTTGTTAATTCATGCACGCATTTAAAAGACAGGACATGTAAGTGCCGTTCAGTGTGTTGGGAACACGGACAAAGGCATCCTCACAAACAAGCTTGCCTTGGTTCTATGAGGAAGAAAAAAAAAAAAGGCAAACAAATAAAGTGGAAAAGAATTAAGATCACAAAGGCTATGCAAGTGCCAGACAATGGACAATGAAATGTAATGAAGTCATCAGGGGAGGACTTCAGGAAAAGATAAAAATTGAACAAAATTCTAAAATTCTGGAAACAATATCCGTATGTAGCCTGGCAGGCAAAAGTTTTTGCTGCAGAGGAAAATAAGAAAGAAATAACAAAACCAAAACAGCATATGTCCTGAGGAAGGAGCGCTGAGCAAGCTGATATGTTTACAAATAGCAAAGAAATGAGCTGGGAATGAGAAGAAAGGGATGAGGTTAGAGAGACAACGTTAGAGGCCACGTTGCTAGGCTGTGTAAGGATTCTGAAGGGAAAGGAAGGCGGTCACCTGTAACACACATTGGTAATGCTTTAATCCCAAGGCGGCTGAGCACTTGCACAAGCGTAGTGCCCATTTACTGCATTGAAATTTGGTAGTTATAAAATCTTAACTTGCAGCATAACATTAATACCAGCTATTTAATAACACACTATTCAGTTGCTGCAACTGAGAAATATCAGCAGTTAAAACAAGATGCACGTTTATTTCTATCTTGCATAAAAGCCTAGGCAGAAACTATCTAGGACCAGAAGAGAGTTCCATAGATTCAGGGAGCTCATTTTTTTTTTTTCTACCTTCTCTAGTGTCTCCAGCATTTTGCCCTTGTCAGCATGGTCCAACATGAATGATGACAACATCACTGCTACTGTGAGTGAGAAAGTTACCCCTTTCCCTAGGGGTGTGACTAGGCAGCTGTGCTGAGCACTTTTTCTTCTCTGACACATTGGAAGTTATTTCAGCACCCTATAATGGGAAGGCAAGCTGAGCCATGTGGTCTTTATTCTTGGTGCCCATTTGCCAAATTAAAATTTGAAGTATCTTTGTAAGAGGAAAAAAGGATAATGGATGCTGAAGAACAATTAGTATTCTCTGCTTTTAGTAGATTTCAGCAACAATTTTCTTATTTACTTATTTACTTATCTATGTATTGAGACAGGGTTTTGATATGCAGGTCAAGCTTGCCTTGAATTCATTTTGTAGCCCAGGCTGGCCTTGAACTCTAGCAATCCTCTTGCCTCCGCTTCCCAAGTTCTGGGATCACAGATGTGCACCATCATGCCCAGTCACAGTTTGTTATTAAATGTATTACACATCCTTAAAACAGTGTGATATAAAGGAAAGAATAGCTTAAAAAATGGCCAAAGAATGTTGGTTCTATTCCAGACCTACCAAGAACTAACTGAAACCCTGAATCAATTGATTGACTTCTTTTATATTTAGTATGTCATCTATAGTATTGGACTAAATGTAAACTGCTACATCTAAGAAACAATTCTCTCTGTAAGTTTTTTATAAAATCAACTTTTATCAGATGAATAGTAGTAATTTCAAAATACTGAGAGCTGCCAAAGATACAAAAACTCAAAGGCAGAATACCTGGCTTCCAGTCAAAGCCTGTTAGATGTGTCTGTTTAAAGATAATAGCAATTGTCTTTAGTCTTAGAAGTTTAAATACATATGAGTCAAGGTGAAAATAATTTGTCACACTTCTGTCCAGATAGAATCCAGTGACTGACTCACAGACAAGGCACACTCACCCTGCTGAATGTACCTTAGGACAATTGGAAGACTGGCTGAAGCTCATACCTCATAGGACAGCTATGGACCTGGAAGACAGACTTCCAGGTCAATCTGCAGATGGACATGAGCAGTTTGTTTCTAATCAGTCTGGTTGCTACTCCTTCACATAAAGCAATTGGCTACAATGCTAAAGAACTCAAAGAAATGTTTTATTTGGAATTAGAAGTCACAGCAGATGCTAAGACTACTCTGTCATGTGTTGCATCTTCTTGGAGATTTTGTTTTCTTCATTGAATGCATTTCTTCACGGCCCATTTATAAAGCTAATGTCTTGCCACCAGCTAGCTTTCAGATGCCAGGAAAATGTTCAATCACAAGGCCAAAGCCAGTCATGTCAAAAGTCCTTTACTTGTCTCTGCACTAGTGTAGCCAAATCTCCTATGGAAACAGGGCGAGGAAAATTGTCAGTCTTTATATGGAGGGCAAAGTTTCCAGAAAAGCGAGCAAGCCTTGAAACAAATATTCATGCTTAAAGGAAACCTGCTGCATTTTTGAGAGAAAATAAGAAAAATAAAGAACTTGCAAAAAATATCAAACACTCCCACTGCATTTAGAAACTCACAATTATATGTGAAACAAAGTGATTTTACACTGTGGATGTTGATAACTTTTATGCAACTTGCTGAATGAGAAACATGATTGAAATAAATGATTAAAACATGTACTGCCATACATAACTCAAAAGTTCTTTGGGAATCAGTGATGTCTCCTTAATGGGTCAATGCAGTGTTCAGGTTAAAAGGCAAAAACAATTACAATAAATGCTCCTACCTGCAACAGCAACAAAACTTGCACAGATAATGTGACAGAATAGGTTTCTGCTTGTGTGCTAAATGTACAAAGTTCAATTTATTCACTGTGTCTACTTTATTCCATGGGAATTGAATCCCTGGAATAAATTTCTGATGCTTTCAATTCCATTATGGCTGGGTTTTCTTTTTCTTTCTTTTTTTCTTTTTCTTTTAGTAAAGCATTTATGCATTAAAAAATGAGACAAAATGTCAGTGAACAGAAGAACCATTCACAGTCTAAAATTATTCATCCTTTCTCTAGCCACCTTTGTGATAGATACTTTCATAGAGTGGGGAGTTCTCAATCCTTCTTTAAAAATAAATCTTTAGAAATTATTTTGGACACCTGAATTACAAAAGTCATTCCATTTGGAAAATAGATGATATAATTCAGAGTAGTGAAATGAGGATTTCAATCATGGCTCTATCATTTTCTCAGTGAATCAGTGATTTGATGAATACAATCATATACAGTGGTACCTCAGCTTATGAATTTAATTGTTTCTATGCTTCTAGTGACCAACCAAACTGAATGAGAACTGAATCAAATTCAATGGTCAAGATCAATACTGACCTGATGGAGAAATTTGATTCTATTCTTGTCCAATCTGAACTGCAACCAGATCATGGAAAGAATTAAGTTTGTGAACTGAGGAGCCACTTAAGATGAATATCTAAAGATGAAGAGAGAGGAAAGGTTGTTGTGGTGTAGGCAGTAGAGAATAGTAGCTAGTCTTTCAACTTAACCATGAGGTTTAATATAATATAACATACACTGTGTTAACTCAGTGGCATGAGTGCCTGTTTGGCAAGCATACGGTCCTGAATTTAATTCATGGTACAAAAACAAAATTAAAAATAGTACACTGGGTTAAGAATACTGACTCATTGAGTTTGAATCTTGGCTTTTTTGTCTGTGTCTCTCTGTACCTCAACTTTCTCATCTATAAAGCTGGGATAACAATGGTATACATTGTTAAAGTAATTACTTTGAGAGTAAACTGAATATATTTATTTTCCCTGGAGACAAAGGGCCTAAAAGATATGACAGGAAGGATCAGCATACACACTTGAGCCATGCAGGGTGAACAACAGTGTGGATAATGGAGGAGCTTTCAGGCCAGTTATGGAGCAACATAATGGAAGGCACAGCTTATTCCCAGAGAAAATGAACATTAACACAGGGATAAGGGCTGGCCAAGATAAGCCAGAATCTCTCAAGTGTCACCAACTGCATGCTGGGTATAGGCAATAATTTAGAACTGTGATACTGACAACCAGAAAGGAGAAGTATGTTGTAACAGTCAGTCATATAAAAAGATTGACAAAACCACATCACCAACTAAAACAAACAAAAGGAGCAGAGAAACTGCTTTAAGGCTACACA